TCTCCAATTGTGACCCCTTTAGGGCGAGCCTGTCCGCCTCTTCGTTCCCCTTAAGGTAGATATGCGACGGGACCCATGTCAATACTATCTGGTTGCCCTTTGCCAGAGACTTTTCGTACGCTAGGTAGATCTGGGTCAGGAGTTCGGGACGGGCGTCCGACCTCTGATTTCTTATGGATTCCAGACTACTCAGTGAGTCGCTGAGGACAACATAGTTTGAATTTCTTTGGCTGGATATCCACACTACGGCTTCTTTGATCGCATACATTTCCGATGTGTACACAGAGCACATATTTGGTAGTCTATTTGCTACCTGTAACTCTTTCCCCGGGATATAAATCCCGAAGCCCGTCGTACCGTTCTCGGGGTTGTGCGATCCGTCCGTGTAAATGTGAGTCCATTTTGACCAATTATCCTCAATATGAGCTAAAGAGAGATGCTTGGCCGCCAATGGGTTATTCCCTTTGTCTACCCTCAGGACGAGGGTGGTATCTACCGGGGGTACTGGGAGGGTCCAGGGGGCCCTGATTGTATCCTCTATACCATTAATGGTGAGCTTATCGAGACCGTAGTCCCTAACCATTTCGCCGACTGCCTGGCCGTATGACTTCTTGGTGGGGTCCCCGACTCTTTTGAACCTCGAGATTTCGTTAAAGGCTGGACACCTTTCACCCAATCGGCTTAGTTTGGCCCAATGCCCCAGGGTCAGTTTCCTTCTTCGAAGTGACAGAGGGAGTTCGCCGACATCCTGTAGTAACGACTCGCGCGTAGTAACGACTCGCGCTTGGCACCTAAGCCACAGCCTGTGGCAATACAAATGGCTTTGTATTGTATCGTGTCCAACTTGCTTAGTGTAACGGGTCTTGCATTTAAGAAAGCCATGCAGCCGTAATTTAATACAGGACGTATTAGAGAACGATAGATCATCATGAGGGCAACTCGGCTTGCTCCCCATTCACGTCCCGTTATTTTCCTCAAACTGTTTCAGGATGCGCTGAGTACGTGTTACCACATATTTGATGTGCGGTCTCCATGTCACTTTCCTATCAAAGATTACACCAAGGAACTTGGTTTCGTCTTTGAATTCTATGTACTGACCATTGAGCTGCAGGGACATCCGGGAAACCTCGGGATCCCTGCATACTAGCATACCTACAGTTTTCGGTGACGAGATCTGAAATCCCCAATCATTTGCCCAAGAGGTGAATCCGTCCAAGGCTCCTTGCATGCGTTTCTGAACCTGCGAATATAGACTACCCTTGGTCCACAGGGTGCTATCGTCCGCAAACGTAGCAAGCGAAATATCTTTTCCGAGATATTCTTTGATATCATTCACCATAATATTGAACAATGTTGGGCTTATAACGGAACCCTGGGGAGTTCCGTTATCCAGTCCGGTCTCTTTACTGAGGTATTTGCCGATTGTAACCCTGATTTGTCTGTCTGAGACAAAACTCTTGATCCAGTTGTACATGTTACCATGCACGCCTACCAAGGACAGTTTGTGTAACAGTCCTTCTGTCCAGACAAGATCGAAGGCCTTTGACAGATCAACAAAGATGACACAGAGGTAGGATCCGCCTCTCGTGGCTGTCACCATGGCATGCTGGAGTCTGGCAATGTGATCGAATGTCGAGCGGCCTCGGCGGAAGCCGCTCTGGTTCTTGTCTAGCAGCTGGTTACTCTCTAGGTAGTATGTTAACCTATCGTTCACCAGGGTTTCAAGAGTTTTGCAAAGCGTAGACGTGAGGCTTACCGGGCGATAAGACTCCGTTTCCTTTGGGTTTTTTCCCACCTTAGGGATTGCAACCACCGTAGCCGTACGCCACAGACAGGGTATCTCACTTTTCCGCCAAGAGAGGTTGAAGAGGTCAAGGACGATTTTCGAAGCATTTTCGGGCAGATTTTTTAGCATAGAGTACTTGACCCCGTCCGGCCCCGAGGCGTTGTCTTTTTTAGAAGATAGCGCTTTCTCGTATTCTCTCAGGGAAAAAGGGGCGTTCAGGTCTGAGCGTCCAACAAGTTATCCGCCTTTCGGCTTAAACTTTTCTTTTTGCGGATCGAAGTCTTTTTTCCTGTTGCTAAATTCGGGCGTAAGGTTTTTATTGCTACTCGCCATAGCAAATGTTTTAGCAAGAAGTTCGGCCTTTTCTGCGCAGTTCTGGGCCACTTCTGCTTTGTAACAGAGAGTCGGTGGGCAAGCCGTCCTAGTCTTACCATTCATAGCATTAATCTTCTGCCACACCTCTTTAGAGTTTGAATTTGCATTCAGGGACTCGCAGTAGGCGTGCCAATGTTGGGTTTGACACTGTTTTATGACGTCTCTTGCCGCATACTTTGCCTTTAGGTATGCGGACCACGTGGCCGGAGAGAGGTGGCGTTGGCACTTGCGAAGGCATCTACGACGTTCCCGTACTGCGACTTGACAAGAATCGGACCACCAAGGTTTTCGAGGCTTAACAGATTTGGAGCTTGACATGGGGATAGAGGCCGTAGCTGCCTCTATTATAGCACTGGTTACGTTCGTGGCATACTTTTCAGTATCCTCCGTAACCAGTTTCTCTTCCCTCCACTCACGACAGAGTAGGTTGAAGCTGCCCCAGTTTGCCTTAGACATTATCCAGCTTGGTCTCCGCTCTGTATCGTCCCGATGTGGCGACTTGCTAAGAGTGATCGTTATCGCCATATGATCACTGCCAAGCGTTTCGTCACACCTTGTGGTCCAGTCGCAGTAACTTGCAATGGGTGAGGATGCCAACGTTAAGTCTAGATGAGATGGGTTGCAGCCCGGCCTAAAGTAGGTTGGGCTACCGTCATTCAGGGCGCAGAGTCCGTTGTCTTCGATAAAGCTGTGCAGAACACTGCCTCTACGATCAGTTTTCGTTGAGCCCCACAGAGCGTGGTGCGCATTGAAATCCCCGCCAGAGTATTCTGCCGGTATGCCGTGGACCACGCATTTCTCAGAGCTGAGAAAGCGTGGTGAGATAATCGACACTCTCACGCCCGTGAGGGTGTCATAGGAACGGGCCCGTTCCAGGTCCACTTCGTCCCGGAAAGCCAAGCGTAGCTCTCCGGTTTTCAATATCGTGATTGTGGGGAGGCAGGTCACCTTCCACACATCTCTGATCTCTTTCCCGAGGACGGTGGCCTTCTTACCCAAGAAGGTTGACCCGTCCAGGGGCTTAACTATCAACGGGTGTTGATAGGGAGCGGGTACGATCCGATGGCGAGAAGCAGCCGGGGGTGGCGTGCTTTTTAAGACGTCCGTAAAGGAGCGCTTGAGAGGCGAGACTGGTGGGGGGACCCCACCTTCAAGGACCTCTATCCCGTCCATGCCGGTGCTAGTGTTGGACATAGCTGCCGGATATCGTTCGACCAAAATAATAAGTAAATAAATAAATAAATAAGCAGGTCAGACACAGAAGTCAGGCGAGAGTTGGGAACCGTGTTATCCTCGCTATGCAGAAATAGGAGGACCCCCGTAAACTCTCGTCCAAAATCTTGCCTGAGAAGCGAGAAGAAAAAAAAACTTCTCTACCGCCACCGACGTGCTACCTAAGTATAAAAATAAATTTATTTTATTATAAAAATACGAGTAACCACTCGCTTGAGAAAGATTGGGGGGACCGCCGCAATGAAACACAAACGATTTCCAGAAAGTGAGGATCACTAACTCAGGCAGAGACTGCTGAGTTCGAACAAATTCTGAAAAAAGTTTTTGAAATATTCAAGATGGCTGCCGTACCCACGCCAAGTCAGTCTCCGTACAAAAAATATAAAAGTATAAAAATACGAGTACCCACTCGTTTGAAATTGATTGGGGGGTAGCCTTATTGAATTATAAAAGCTTTCCAGGTAATGAGGATCACTAACTTAGTCCGAGCTGGCTAAGTCCGTTCAAAACCTGTACTTGATTTTCAGAAATTCAAGATGGCTGCCAAACCCACGCCAAGTCAATTTCCGTCCTAAAAAGTATAAAATATAAAATATAAAACAATATCTCGGTCCACAAAGAGGTATAATTACCAGAGCAGTAATAAAAGCCACTCGTAGGCCGGTATATCCTTGCTTGATTCCAAAAAACACTGTGATAGTTCACCCAAGTAGTAGAGAACACAAAGTTGATCTGAGTACTTCGAGAAAAATCACACAATGCACGAGCTGAACTTCTTATGACCTCTAGCTTCGACAACCAAAAGTCCGCAACTATAACAAACAACAATACCTTTTCAATTCTGTATAACTCTAGATAATCTGCCTCACCATCTTATAGTTAGTTGTTAGTTGTGTTTTACGTCCGCTTCCACCGAGGTGATATCGCAGACAATGACGTGTTATGTGTGCAAGGTGCATTAATTTACAATGTGATTAGTGAGAAATAATAGGATGATTAGGTTTTCATATATATGTACATAGGACAATAAACAACAGTAGGATAACATGTGCAAAGGACGAAACAGGTGCCAGTAGACATTTACAAACATGCGATTTGACGGAACAGACATGGACAAAGACGGACATTTTCACAGACATAGACATATTATGTACATATATATATATGTACTTTGGCGGAGGAATTTGTCCAAAATAGTCCCGTCTATTATCGGGACGCAGACCACTGCTTACTTCCACAACATTACTATCAATTGCTACACGACCTAGCTGTTGAACCCTTCGTCGTGTGTGTCTGATTGGCGAGCTTTGTCACGTGATATGTTAAACCAAATCACTGCGAAATTCAAATACCATCGCACATTGATAAGTAAGCCTGTATTTAATTTGCGTTTTGTGTCAAACGTTAAAGAATGGATAACAGAAAAGTTGTGTGGCACCATAGATAATCGGTATTATCTATGGTGGCACGGAAAAACAGAAGCAAGCTAGCTAGCTTGAAATTTCACACCACTGCCTTACTTTACAATACTTACTACATTGGGTGTTATTGGGCAGTTATTGGGTGTTATTGGGTAATTCGACGCGCCGGTCACACCAGTATGTGATAATGGTAGTGGTTGAGTGAAAATTTACTGCCGATCAGTTTAGGTTGGTCCCTCCATGTTCCCTCAAACTGTTATCGATAAAGACCATGGATATGTTCAGTACAGTTCTATAATAAAGAGAACGCACACAAAAGACTTGATGACGAAGAGTTAAATTTAGACCATGGATAATCTCCCCTCTCGGAAACGGAAGAGTGCACTTTTATATTTGTAAATAATAACAAACTTTGCACTCAGCTGACAGACAATAATAATTTATTTATATTCATGATAACATGTCCAAAAGAGATATGGTTTTCTAGGTAAGTGTTTGAATCTTAATATAACGTGTCAAAGAAAAAAAGTGAAATAGAAAACGACAACGAATACTGGATGTTTATAACACCATTCTCAGATATAATTAATAATGTAATCAAATTGAATGTTGATCCTTTACTCATTACTATTTATTGTCTCACTAGTCTCAGTGTCTGAACCATGGTAAATTTTAAACGGATTTCTTCAATTGTGAACAAGCTACTTAAAGTAGCTAAGTCCGTAAACTCAATATCATCCAAAATCTTCGACATTGAAAACACAAATTTTTTTGCAATTTAAATCAGCATTGGTGTTGTGGTCTTACCTGGAAAAGATGGGCTTCTGATATTCAATATTTAAGATAAAATAAACATTTCACCATTGGTACACGAATCGTGTACCATAATTCGTTTCAGCGCCATTTGTAACACGGTGCTCAAAGAATGAGGCTAGACATATTCCACAAGTCATGTCAAACGGTGATACCATATTCTTATTTGGAGAGCATGCGCAATATATACTATCGGTGTTGACTGAAATAACCAGACGCTAGAAACTGTCTTTCGGTTTTGAGACTTCTGGCATATTTCGCCGAACATAACTGATGACAATTCACAGTAAAACAGAAACAATTGAATGTAAAACAGTTTATATAAATTCATATTACATTATTATATGCGTTGCGACCCATTTGTGCCAATTTCTAGGCCCAAAATATTAGCGATTTAGCTCCTTTAACTTTGGTTATTATAAATTTACCTGTGTGTTTGAAATCAGCTCCGGTTAAATAAAATCCATTGCACAACTAATTATCCCAACAAATAAAGTTCTCTCTTGAAAAATTGAAATCCCACAAATTTTCGACACACAAAAATACCAATATGGAAGCTGATTACGTCATTCTTCTGGAGATATCATTTCGTATAAGGCGTGACAGCATAGCAAATTGAAATGGTTTTCGACACTTTTACGACATTGAGTTTGGGCGTTCACACACAACTGTCCGTATTCTTTTATTTTGTTAATGTTTTTTACATTCTGGTAAAATCTCTGCAAATTTTATAACTTTACCTTTTGGAATATTTTGTTTTAATAATTATTTGATTAGCGACTCGGATGGGATAATTTTCTTTTGAACACACATGCGGAACAAAAACAATTACATTTGATTTACCGGCCTTAAATATTACCTATGATTATCTTTAATTCAATATATATAGGCCTAAGTATTATAAGCAACACGCTTGTAAATGAAAAGCCCCTGAGAAAAACGATCTAAGTCACTTTTTCAATGAATCTCAGTTAATGGTGCCATCTGGTAGCAAATTGTATAAGCTTTCTGTGGAACAATCTATTTCAGGTAAAAACGATTGGAGTCACATCCAACCATGGCCCTTCTGAAATGGCCTCCCGGACAAATATGTCCATCGTACCCTTTATTTGACTGAAAAGTTGAAGTCAGTTGTTGTACTTGTAATTATGATTCGTATTAAACATCATTTTGAAGTTGTAATTAAAACCCACTCGTTGTTATGTTCGCGCCAAGCATTCCCGTCCAAAAGTCTGTTTTGCCTTTTATGCGAAAAGACAAAAATATGACTTAGATCGTTCTTCCCCTGGACTCTTCAAATGTTATTGAAGCAGTTATTATTTGATTGAAAGAATGCTATCAAATTAACAATAGACTCAGAGACTTCGGAGGTGAGCTTCATGGTCCTTGTTAAATTATTTATAACATAAAGAAGATAGGATATTTTTAGTTTATATATGACTTTATTTTTACGAGTATCCGTGCAATCAGTGATATTTTCATTGTGAATAACATTTGATAGACTGGCGATCAATGGTTTCAATATAAATCTCCTGTAATTGCCTTCAGTTATATTTTTTGTTGCCCAAACTCAAACGATCGTAATAATCGCGCTTTGTTTTCATTGCAACAAGTGACTGTCAAACCATCTGTCAAAATTAAACCACCCCTGCAACAGCTGCATTGGTTTAGCCCAACGCGTAACGAAAGCATTGTTGTCTTCCTCTCAGTCGAAATTACAAGTAAATAGTCAAATTTGTCAAGAGAGAACTTTTTTTTTTCGTTGCAATATTTAGTTATGCAATGGATTTTATTGAACGCACACCTCTGGTGAAGTCGCGTCAGGGTAAAAAAAAGTCCACAGCATATTTTTTGCATTTTCATTGAACACATACCCAAGGCTGTTCAGAAGTGAAAAAATGAAAATCTTCTATAGACTAAATTCAAAAATATGCCAAATAAAAGAAAAAATATCTAAAGTTTGTTTCTTCCGCGATATTCTGAGACATTCATTCTTGAAATTACTTGACAATTGAAGCAATATGCCAAATAAAAGAAAAAATATCTAAAGTTTGTTTCTTCCGCGATATTCTGAGACATTCATTCTTGAAATTACTTGACAATTGAAGCAATATAGTAAAATGCATATCTATACCATTTATCACAGACGAGACATTATGCGAAAATCGGATACTCCCGTCAGATAAAATATCCCTGAGAAATCCTATGTTCAAAAGTGCCAAAAATGCAAAAATGTAAAAAAATATCGAAAATTAAATTTCAGTAACTCAATACTTATTACACATCGCTAGAATCGTAATTAGGTCAGCTATCTGAGTGTGTAACCTTTTTGTAAAAATCGGTTTAAATAATAAAGTAATAGACCATTTTCCAAAATTTCTCGATTTTTCGACTTTTTTCGATTTTATGTCCCTTTTTTATCCTATTCCAGACATTTCAAAGTCTTATTGGATGGCATAATGCACAAGACTATCGAATGGACTCTCGATAGAGAATTGTAGGTTAAGTTTTAGAGATAAAGGCGTCCAAAAACGTTCCAAATCAGAAAATACTTGATTTTCAGCGTGTCATATTTTGCTGTTTAGTCATAGTATCCATATAAATTGGGCATCATACGACAGTCCATTCCCTGGGCCACTCAACGAAAGCTTAATTCGTTTAATCCGTTGAAATTGGACAGAGAAATCCTGTTTTTCCCAAAAGCACCCATTTTTTGCGTTTTTTCAAAATATCGGGCATTATTTCGACTACTTCCGGTTTACGGATCTTTGTTGAAATTGCTTTATCCAACGGTCTGACAATCTGGCTTTACGATCCTGGAGTTTCAGAAAGATCGATTATTAATGCTTTCAAAAAAATATAAGGGTTGGAAAATGACCAGAAAATTCGAAAAAAATTGGAAAATAAAGGGCGATAACTCGGAATGGAACTTATATTACTTGAATGGGAAGGACTTCAGGTATTCAAAAATGTAGGTCAAATTTGAAAATTTTGAAAAATAACAAAAATTATCTCATAAACAACGTGTTTTCAATTTTCGAACGATAGAAGTCATAGACAAATATTCGAAATTGAAAAATGTGAGATAGCCATTATCTCTGAAAAGATTCAGGGTTTCCGAAAATGTCATTTGTTTAAAAATAGGTAAAGAATTGACAAAAATATGGCCGATTTTCAATTTTCACTTCCGGTCTGCGCAGAAGTTTCAAAAATAGTTTATCAAGTAGCCACCACATGGTTTCTCGATAGAAAATTTGGTTCCAGATCGATATCTGTTTTCGATCATGGAGAAATAGAATCCCGCGGAAAAAAATAATAATAATAATAATTTTAGTAAAAACAATAGTCTTTCAGACAAAGTAGTCTGAAAGCCTAATAATCATTTTCTATAGTGCTGGACATTCAGTCAGTCTGACTGCTCTGTGGTGCTTTACAATGTACATGTAAATATGATCATAAAAAACATACGTACATGTATATACAAATCATATCATATCATAAATCATATCCTTTCTTTGGAATATGTAGGTCATTTGACCTGCGTCTGCTTTTGTAAGTTCTCGGCCATTAGCTTCGGATAGTCAATAATACATGTATATCAAATGTTCTAATATGTTCGATGTCACAAATTTAAAATCACATTATATACATGTAACACAGTTGGGAGTATCACAAAGGAATAGTCAAGTTACAACAATGTAGGCCTACATAATCATGAAAGATGAAGCATTTAAATTAAAGTTCAAAAGTTTGGGTAAAATAAAGATTTTTCAGAGGTTGTTTAAATATATAGCCAGGTTTGGACTGTTTTGGACTTCCAGTGGCAATTTGTTCCATTCTTTTGGTGCTGCTGTACACAAAAGCTCTCTCATCAAATTTTTACTTCTTTACTGAACACACAAATTGTTTTTTATCAGATGAACGTAAGGAACGAGAAGGTACATAAATAGGATGGTGCCACAGGATTGTTTAAACAATTGAAAGATTATGTTAATTTTGAAAATGATGCGTTGATTGATCAGTAGCCAATGTACCCAATTTAAAAAAGGTGAAATATAGTCAGATGGTTTGGTGAGAGATACAATTTAAGCTGCTTTATTCTGGATTTTCTTTAGCTGACTTTTAGGAAGAGAATACAATAATGAATTACATTAATCTAAAGATGACTTAACAAAAGCATTTATTAACATTTTAGTGGAATCTAGGTCAATATAGGGTCGAATTTTGCCAATGTTATACAGATGAAAGTTTTTGCACAGCCTGGATACATGGGTTTTCATATCAAGGGAAGAGTCAAAGAACACACTAAGATTTCTGACACAGTTGGATAGGGTTATGACAGTGCTTCCAATAGTCACGTGCTTGATGTCAATGTTCTTTTTATTCCCGATTACGGTATTATATTCTCTGTTTTTTCATCATTCAATTTCAAAAAGTTGCAGTGCATCCAGATTCTAATTTGTTCAGTGCATGTTTTAAGTTCTGATGTAGTGGTAGCTGGTGAAAGGTCAAGTTCAACATATAACTGGGTATCATCCGCATAGAGGTGGTAATTAAGACTCATCTCACGGATGATATCTCCGATTGGTGTAGTATATGCTGTGAACAAAACCGGTCCCAATACAGATCCCTGGGAAACACCAAAATCAAGAGCTTTAGGCATTGATTCAGATGCGTCAATAACGATACTCTGCTGTCTTCCACTCAGATACAACTCAAACCATTTCAGTGCATCTCCAGAATACCGTATCGAGTTTCAAGTCTCCGGAGTAGGATTGATTGATCTATCTTATCAAATACTGCCCTGAAGTCCAATAAAACTAGCGACACTGGTTTCTTCTGATCCAAGCTACAATTATCTGTATGCTGACTGAAATTTTTCTTGGAGATTGTTTTCACACAAATTTTATTTAAAATAATTAAGGACAATAAATTATTTTTTCTATAATTTTAAAAATGAAAGATAAATTCGACACAGGTCAGTAATTATTTTAGCACATCAGAATCAAGGGCTGATATTTTAATGAGGGGTGGGTGTCACATGGGTTGTTTTAAGCATTTCACATACTTCTGCGCCTACTTAAGACATGTTCACGATTGGGGTTATCACTGGAAGTAACTCTGCTTCATACTTCTTTAGTAGCCATGTTGGCAGAGGATTGGGGGAACATAACTTTGAGGCTAATTTTTTAATTGTTTGTCTTATCTCATCTTCTGTTGCTAGACAATTAGTTTTTAAGTGTACAACCTTCAAACTTTTTGTCAATAAATATGTTTGTTGGTATATTTACACTTGTCAAATGGGCTTGTCCATCTGTCTTTCTGTCAGTGATGAGTGATGAAACTTGGTGTATAGTTTCATTACATCAATACCTTGATAAAGTTCGATAATGGGCATTCTCTGCTTAGGGTAAGCAGAGTGATAAGGAATTTGATTGGCTGAGACTTTGGAACACAATAACTCTCCTTCTAATTGAGGTAGAATATTCAAACTTTGTGTAGACGTTCATTCTAATTGAACTAGAACATTCAAACTTGGTGCAGTTGTTTATTAGGGCAATGCCTTGATGTAGTTTGAAGATGAACATTTTCTGCTGAGGGTAAGCAGAGATAAGCAATTTAATTGGTTGATGCTTTGGGACATGATAACTTTAGTTCTAATTAAGTGAGAGTGATGAAATTTGGTGTATAGTTTTATTACATCAATACCTTGATTAAATTTGATAATGAGCATTTTCTGCTCAGGGTGAACAGAGCGCTAAGCAATTTGATTGGACGAGACTTTGGAACACAGTAACTCTCATTCTAATTGAGCTAGAATGTTCACACTTGGCGTAGGTATTTATTATGTGAATGCCTTGATGGAGCTCGAAGATGAGAATTTTGTGCTTAGGGTAAACAGAGATGAGCAATTTGATTGGTTGATGCATTGGGACACGATAACTTTAGTTCTAATTCAGTGAGAGTGAGGACACTTGGGGTATAGTTTTATCATATCAATACCTTGACTATAAGTTCGATAAGGAACATTTTTCTGTTTAGGATAAGCAGAGCAATAAGCTATTTGATTGGTCAAGAATTTGGAACACAATAACTCTCCTTCTAATTGAGGTAGAATGTTCAGACTTAGTGTAGGCGTTCATTAGGTGAATGCCTTGATGGAGTTAGATGATAAACATTGTCTGCTTACTGTAAGCAGAGATAAGCAATCTGATTGGTGGATGCTTTGGGGCACGATAACTTTGGTTATAATTAAGAAGAGTGATGAAACTCTGAGTATAGATTCATTATATCATTACCCGTACGTAACTAACATACAAAAATTAAATGGTAGCTAGGGTGGGTCTGTCATTCAGATTGATCAATACCTTCACTAATGAACGATAAGCAATTTGTTTAAACTTGATGTAGATGTTCATAAAGTGAATGTCTTGACTGAGTTCAATGATTAACATTTGGAGCTAAAGCTAAGCTGAGCTAAGCAATTTCATTGGTCGATGCTTTGGGACAAGATAACTTTGATTCTATCTGATAGAGGGTGATGAAACTTAGTGTATAGTTGATAATCAGTTTGATTGCTTGATACTTTTTAGTCTTGGTCACCAGAACCTCCTAGTCTTCAACGTACGTAAAATACATTGCCCATGTGTAACCGGGAGTTTGGTTTTTAATGTGGTTGATTATCCAGTATGGCCACAGATCACTAATGATTTCCCCGTTGACTTTAATGTTAATTCTCGTCTCGTAGACCGGCTCTAACTTTTTCCCAAATTTTCGTTGGGTAGAACGCTTTCTACCACAGATGGAGCAACATGTGGCAACCTCTTGCCCAAAAGCACATATGAGGTTCACCATGGAAAACTTGAAATACACAAGCTGGAAGTAGAGACAAGAAAACATGCAATTTTTGACCCTACATTTCAACCTAACCAATCTCTCAACTCTTGGCAGAAAATATATTTTCAAACATTTTTCTTCGATTCTACACCAAAAAGTCAACAAAAATTGCCATGCAAAAGGGGGAATAAGGAAAAGGGAGAAAAAGACTAAAAATAACTTTCGCCCTACATTCGTGGGTGACGGCGTAGAAATATTTCCTGAGCTGTGTCCTATATAGGGGTGAAACTTCAGGTATCACCAAAAAGCCTTTTTTATATGCTTCCCATATGTTCTGGCAACATACTGGTGAAAGGAAATCAAAATCAAAGAATAACTGCAAAAATGATGGCCCTTTAAGTATACATGCTACTTTATGTACAGCGGTGCATCTCAGGTCCATGGGCCTTTTGTGCTAAAATTTAAACATCTTTCTTATTAAAGGCAGTATTTGAGTTCTGTGAAAAAATTAGACAAGTTACAAACAAATTACACAGAAAACACTCATAAGCTGGATTTTTTTTCAAAAATATAATTTTTTACTGCCATGTCATGAAAAATGTACAAAATTTACATATAGCATCTTTCATAAAAACAATAATTTTCCACTTTTTAGATAGCCAGACGGGCAAGGAATATATTTTTAGAAACCCTGGACAATATGCAAACAGAAAAACCACAAATCAGCTGCATTGATGGTAATATTAGAGATCTATACTGAAAAATGTATCCCCACCCCCTAATCATGTCACTGACTGAATCAATCTAATCTTTGGTTGCAGAAGTAACATTACTAAAGGAATCTGTCTAATAACCATGTTTTACCATCCCTGGCTAACATGTGTACATATAAACTAAAATATGTGCAATAAATATGAATTATGGCAAAAAAAAATAGGCCTTGATGAAAGAAAAAAATGCCATATTTGGTCTATGACCACCCCTCTCTAACAAAAGGGTCACAGAATACACAATTTTCACAAATTTGGGAAAATTTCAATGTTTTCAACATCTCAAGGCTCAGAGGCACCATACAAATCTTTATTGCAATTCTTGTGCTGAAGCAAGATGTCTGGACCTTTACATCAATTACCCGAAAAAATTAAGTCAAAAAAGTAGTTATGACAGAGTTGACAACATGAAGGAGGCCTATAAAGGAACAAAATTAACATTTTACTGTTCTATAAGTAACATAAATGCAACAAACACCACAAACTCCTAGATTTTGACAAGAAAATATTGAACATTAAGCTGACATTTACACATCTACACAATTTTTATATCAGGGTGTGGTCTCATTGGCCTGACATGTCTCAGGATTCTAAGTTTGACTTTAAAAAAAGGGCTAGAAATCTTTGAATTGTACAAAAATATTTGTGGCATGTCATCATGAATTTACTTTGGCGTAGGCTAAACTTTTTCAAACAAAGATACTTAATCACTGCTCTGCATTCAGCTTTCTCCCTTTTGAGAGCAAATGGATGGGTCATCTGGTTTGACAGCTATATGGGAAATGATTGTGCATGGAATTTATGTTTTGCATGTCAAGCACACACTGAGTTTGGGCAAACTGTTCTTGGTGAGGCTGGAAATTTTTGGTACACACCCCGTAGGTCCGGGTGCAGAACCAGTGTACATGTACTACATTGATCAGATGCCGATTTTCTGATTGACAGATTAATAAACATCAAACACTGAAAGGTAAAGCTGCAATGGCACAGATTAATTCGCTTATCGAGTATTCAAAAAGTGTTAATGATGGCATTATCACCTTTTGAAAGAGGAATGAACATAGTATGTGTTTCTTTAATCCTCTCCGGTTTTCTCCCACTGCTAAAGACCCCTACGCGCAAGCGAATTATGTAAATAAAATTATACCATGTGTTAGTCCCGAAATGACCTAGTTTGTGTCGAGTGGACGTTAAACCCCATTTCTCTCTCTCTCTCTCTTTAATCCTCTGTATGTGCTACTTCAGAAACCAAATAACATATTTAACGTTTTCGGTATAACAGACATGCTAGGAAGACTGAAAGATGCAATGAAATCAGTATTAATGACTATACACCAAAATCTGCTTTTCAACCCATTTACATCTATCTTAAGTTCCAAAAGAAAAGAGCTGTATACACCCTTAAAAATATGGATATAATTTATTATGATAAATGATTTGACTTGATATAATATTGTTTCTTTTTTAAATTCATATATCCAGGATCAGTCAGTTTATCCGTAATCTATAAAATTAATTTGGTTTTTTTTCCAGGAAAATCGTAGCAAGAGTGTAAGACATGTCTATGTTAATACATGTATAAACTTATAAAGAAGCGAGTTTCACTTTACATAGAGAATGAATGCAAGGTCACAGGTATTTGAACTGGTAAGTAGTTGGCATGTGTATGTTAATAGATGTAAAACATAGGTTATACCAAGTAGGTTTACTTTGTGTATAAAACTTGCATCACCTGTTATTTCATAGAATTAAACCGATGTGTACAGGTCTAAGCCAAGAGTTTCAACCAAAATACTGCAGGTTTTGAAAGATGTGGCATTGTATTGTTATAAACAACATTCTGAATCTTACGGTTAAAATGAGGCTGCAAGTTACATCATGCCTCGACAAGAGGTTAGTTGTGCGATTGGTCAAGTTTATATGTAAAAGAACTCGGTTCCTTTCAATATTCGTGCATATCGGACCCTAACTCCCTGTATTTTGCTTCTGATTGTACGAATAAATCGCTTTTTTAGCTTGTGGGAGGTCACAATTTTTATCCGATTTAAAAAAAAAAAGTTTAAATGTATCACCGTTACATCATAATTGCAGTTAAATTCAAATTTCTCGAAAATTGGACGGAAGCTGCCTGACAAAATGGCTCCTCCCCATACACAAATAGTGTAAAAGTATGTAAATACCAAGGTTGTTGACCCTCTCGAGGTCACAAATTTTTATCTGATTTTGATGAAGCTTAAAATATATGTTTATATCCCAAAGGGTCCCTTTTGATATTTGTGCCTATCGGCCTCTAACTTCCTGGATTATGGCCCCTGATTGTACGAAAAATCACGTTTTTAGCTTGTGGACCCTCTACAGGTAACAATTTTTATCTGATTTAAAAAACTATTTAAAATATATCACCGTTATACCATAATGTCATTTGAGTTCGACTTTTTGTGAAAAGCAGACCAAAACTGCCCGACAAAATGGCCGCTCCCATTCGCAAATAGTGTAAAAGTATTTAATACCGTACCAATGTTGTGGAGCCTCTAGAGGTCACAGTTTTTATCTGATTTTGATGAAATCTGGGTTCCTTTCAATCTTTGCACGTATTGGACCCGAACTTCCTGGACCCGATTGTATGAAATATCACTTTTTTTTATCTCGTTCTCTGTCCATCTCTTGCAAAATGTGGACGTATCTTGCATGGCAACCACTTGTTTGAAAAGATATACTGTACCTGCTCTTGATGGTAATTATGATTAATTATTTCAGTCTGTGGAGGGCAGACAAATAGAAGAAGTTGTTCAAAGTAAGTATTAAGTGTAGAATTCTTCAAGTACTGACATAGAGAACTGGCTGGAAAGGCAATAAAGGCATAAACCAGTACTTACCTTACCTATGAAACTGTAGTAACAATTCGATATAAACAAGATTTTAGTAATTATTATCAATTGTGCTTCATTCTGCAAGTTAGGGTTGCAGCATTTTTTTGTTTGTTTTTTTTTTTTAAAAAACTAGCGATATATTGTGTATATTGTGTTAAATTGTTGTAGTTTCTTAATGTTAATTTTTGTGTTGCAGGTTTATTCCACACACTTCTTCTTCATAGAACATTAGGAAAGGTTGGTAATTAGTTTGGTATATTAGAGTGGGATATAATAGTATTCTCATTAGAAATTTCAACAAAATTGTTCTGTCTTGTAGAATTTAATCTTACCACTGTATAACTTACGAATTGTTTTAATTACAGTTTCACTATAAACATGAAGGTAGTTATTCTATTGGGACAGTTGGTATAGTTGATGAAGACTGTGATTTTATAGATTTAACTTATGTAAGTTATATTCAATTCTGTACAATATGTTTTTTATTAAGGTATAAAGAGTTTAAAAGCATACTCTACAGCAACATTCTACTTTCAAGATGTTCTGGGTATGATCAATACAGGTGCAATTGTAACATGGGAAATTTCTTTCAACAATAACATTAAGCTGAGACTAAGTATTATGACTTGAGTCTATTCATATAACATTCCACTTTCAAGATGTTCTGGGTATGATCAATACAGGTGCTTGTAACATGGGAAATTTCTTTCAACAATAATATTAAGGTGAGACTAAGTATTATGACTTGAGTCGGTTCGTATAACAAAATTCTTGGGGCAAATAACTTGTCTGAAACCGATTCTCTATCAGTATTAATACTTAAAAGTGTAAAACACAAATTTTATACCTGTTAAATTTGCCAATTTATGTCTTAAATTTTGGTTTCAAAATTGTCAGTAATTAATGGCATAGTAACCAAAGAGATGACATCTAAATGTCTCACATGTCATGAGTGTAATAGAGTATAAGGGCAACTAGAGTTTTTTGGGCTGATAAATTTTATAATTAATGTTGTACTGTAAATATTGATTATTGGTCAGTTTAGCCAACGAAGGATCAACCTATCTTCTGTCATTATTCTACCGATTAAACTCACAGACATGCAATTTTGTAGTTATACATAGCATTGCTTTTTTTCAATGAAATTCTCAGTGTACATTATAAAGCAATGAATCATTTAGTTGGATCACATGTTCATTCACTGAATTTTCTAGGTTCGAGTAGGATCTGATAATTTAGATCTTGCAATAAGAAGAGAAATAGCTTCATTTAGAGATTCACTGCGCTTTAATGATGGTCCAAGATCAGGCCAGGTATGTAAAAAATGATTAGTAAAAATATCATTGTTTAGGTTCATTACCAAATATTTGCTGGTCAACAGACAATGTTTTGAGCAAAGTATTTGTTATTTGAATAAATTTAGCAGTAGAAGTAGCTGAGACAGTAATTCAGATCAGGATAATAAAATACAAAATAAACAACATTAACAAATCATATTTTACTTAAAAATGGCCAGCATGGAGTAATCCAGTCTGTCAATTCTACATTGAAAGTGTTAATTAAAGGCGAAATGCTCTGTACTTCATTGAAACCAGTGATGGGATTTCGCCCGTATATTCCGGACATGTCCGACGCTATTTTCCAAACGTCCTAAAGTGTCCAACCAGGAATATGCCCAATCGGACATCAAGACATGGTGAATAATATTCAAAATTCCAAAATTAATATAGTATACTGAGCAGTGATGGGATTTCAAAATTTTTCCTGTTGTACATTTTACTGAAAATAAAGGGGCATAACTCTTATCGTTAATTAAGCTGGCATATTCATACCACAATTAAAAATCATGTGTCAACAAAATATTCAAATCCTGTAGTAATAAAAAAAGGTGAACCACGTTATTTTTCATATTTAATTCCCGTACATTATTCAAATTTATGTCGGTGATATTCCTGTAAAATTACATGTTTTCTTAATATGATAGATTAAGTAGTTAATCAAGGTAGGTGTATAGATGGTATAACACGATAAATACATTGATCACTTAATTACCTAATCAATCCAGCCTATTATCAACGACAATCGGGTTGAGTTGTAGCTGTAGGCCTACACTCAGTAGACTATATTAATTTTGGAATTTTGAATATTATTCACCATGTCTTGATGTCCGATTGGGCATATTCCCGGTCGGACAATTTTGGACGTTGGGAAAATAGCGTCGGACAAGTCCGGAATATACAGGCGAAATCCCATTACTGGTACTGAGTGTATAACTGCCACTCAACCCGATTATCGTTGATAATAGGCTGGATTGATTAGGTAATTAAGTGATCAATGTATTTATTGTCTTATACCATCTATACACCTACCTTGATTAACTACTTAATCTGCTTTGATTGACTGACTTAATCCTTTGTCGGACAATTCATCAATCTAATCTTAAACAGAAGTCATTGCTTCCCCTTTGTCGGACTGTTCATCAATCCAATAAGAGTTATTATCATTTTAATCTCATGTTGACCTCGTGGTTTCTCCATTGTCGAACATTTTAATCCCATTGATGTGAGCCGACAATATGTATAAACTAATCATAGATGTCACATATTGTAAGTGTATATAACACTCCAAATCAATATATTATCTGTTAACTTGTAAATCAATATATCCGTTAATTTGTCTGCGTTATCACTTCGGTTGAAGCGGACGTTAAATAAAGCTATTTCACACACACACACACACACACACACACACAAACACACACACACACACCCACACACACGTGGTTATAATACAATAATCGAAAACTAAAGTAGAAATCTTGCGAGACACGTGAAATTAAAAGAGATGTAACCGTGACAATTATCACGTTAACTTATAAATCAATATATCCGTTAATTTGTCTGCGATATCACTTTGGTAGAAGCGGACGTTAAATAAAGCTATTTTATACAAACACCCACTCGTGGTTATAATAAAATAATCAAAAACTAAAGTAGAAATCTTGCGAGACGTGTGAAACTACAAGAGATGTGATCGTGACAATTATCACGTCGGAGGAAAGATTCTATTTTGATGGCATATTCTCGGGTTTATGATAGTATTTTGAATGGGGGTTATGTTTAAAAAAAAGAAATAAACAAGCTGAGAAATGTCGACAAATATTTTGATTGGAATAGTGTACATGTAAGTAGTTAATTGTTTTACACGATAACGCGTGCGAGTGCTATTATTTAGCAGATGATTTCACTGGCTCGATATCGTGGAGCGACGATCACTGCCCAAAAAATTTGGGGATGTCTTTTTTTTTTACCTCCATCCATATAGAAGTCAAAACGTAGTATAAGACGAATGCCAGATTTCTGCTGGAAAAAAAAATCCACTTATACCCCAGAAAATATGTTAATTTTGGAGGTGATTTTGAACAAAAGTACGGGTCGACAATAGTCGGCACGCTTCCATTCTATCGTATAATGACAACATGTAATTTTGTAGGAACATTACTGACACAAATTTGAATACCGTACAGGAATTAAATATAAAAAATAATGAGGAGCACCTATTTTTTTTAATACGTACGAATTTGAATATTTTGTTGACACATGATTTTTAATTGTGGTCTGAAACCCCCTGCTTAAATAATGATAAGAGTTATGCCCCTTTATTTTCGGTTAACATGTCTGACAAGAAAAATTTTGAAATCCCATCACTGATTAAAACTATTTTGTTTTCTACATAATGAATGAAATCTTAAAAGTTTCTGCAACAGCTGGAGTTTTACTTTAAACTATGCAGTCAATTTTAGTTGTCTTTTAGTTTATTTCTGTAAATTCTATAGTAAAAGCAGGAAAACTGGACAATTCTAATTTCTAAAGAATTAACGAGATTGTTGCTTGTAAAAGATTTTTTTTATAATTAAAGCTTGTATACGACAACAATTCATATTTCAGATTTCATTAGAATTTTATCAGAAGAAAAGAGCTCGTTGGCCATTTCAGGCTGAATGTATACCATGGGAAGTATGGACAGTTAAACTAGATGTCATTAATTTAGCTAATGAACATGGTAATTTTCTTAATTCATTTAGTTATTTATTAACAACGTTGGTCCTAGGTTTGCTGGCCCCCAGTGTCTTTTAGAAGTATAATTTTTTAAATCTGAACCTTTTATTGATCAGACTTCTGGGAGTGTTAGGATATAAAACATCACTTGTTCTTACATCCCTTACCTTACATGCTACAAAAATTTCCACTCTCCTACCAGTACCAAGTCAGCTGGGAAAACTGAAAGATTGGGATAAAGAGTCTTAGTTAAAGATTTGACACCCATATTGTAACAAATTTAGCTAAGCTGTTTGCTCTTCTCCGTGTGTGCATGGGGCTGCGTTTCCACCAAGTTTCACGTGTCACGTGACAAGAAATAGAAACATATGATTTTGGTAGGAACCGTTTCCATCAATGTCACTTTTCACGTTTCACGCGTGAAATGACACGTTTTTGAAGAATGAACATGTTCATTCTTTTTACCCGTGTCATGTTTCACGTCTGTCCGATCTGGGGTTTCCCCTGGATTTTCCACAGCTTTTACTTTCCCTTTTGGTAACTCCACGTGTTCGTATCGAATGTAAAAAGAGCCTGTGTTTTGATCGTCTAAAATTAGTTATTTACGCTTGTCCTAAACATGAATGACTATAAGCACAACCTGATATGCCTTGTGCAGAAGACCCCACTTCTGTGGGACCCCAGAAATAAAGACTATAAAAACAAAGACCAAAGAAAACAGGTGTGGGAGAAGATTGATGAAAAGCTACAACCACCAGTAGAAGGTATTTAATTTAATCAAACATAAATCAAGAAACAGATGTATGAACTTGAATTGAACAGTTTTGGCTTGCATATAGTTTCAATTTTTTGACCTTTCTAGTCCTCAAGAAGAAGAACATTTCAGAACACATTCTGATCTTGCCACATGACACTACCGCGAGGATCGTTGAAAAATTCTGCAATCAAATCACGGATTTCTGTAGCCTCATCCAAGTTTCTGCCACCTTGCTGGGGGCGCAGATTCATTAATCCTTGTTCATTGTTAGGCCTGACGGCAAGAATTTCCTCGTCAGATGAGTCTGAACCGTCACCCATGGCGAACGCAGGACGAATGACATGTGACATGTTCGATGTGAAATCCAGTGGAAACCCCTAATGTCACGTATCACGTGTCATGCATGACACATGACATGTGATACGTGACACGTGAAATTTGGTGGAAACGCAGCCTGGTGTACTGAGATGCAGTTTTAAAATCTTGTTTGAGAGACCGACTTTAAAGACGACTCCCGGGGTACAAACTGTGTGATTTGATAATATATACTCTTCAAAAAAAGTAGGGGATATTCAGAAACAATACAAAACTGGGGTAACCAGTGTATGTTAATAACAGGCCAATTGCCTACACATGAACATAAACAGTTCATGTGGGCGGCATATCTGACGGCCCCATATCACTCGCAAAGAGATACACTGTCAAAAGTGAAAATGGATGTTTTTGATTTTTGTCTTAATAATGAGAAATTGCTCCACCAATCCTCAGTGTTATCGGTTGACGTTGACTCGAACCGATAGGAAAGCAAACATGGATAGATAAACCAGCACACGTCAGTTTTCATCAACCCTTCCTTGAAGTGTCAAATTTGACAATGAACCCCTCCCACGTGTATGGCGCCATTGCGTGTCGCAGGTGCAGCTCAGTGGTTCTGTTGGAGCGATAAATTCTTCATCTGTGAACATACTCGTAAAGCATATCAAGTGTCCATGAGTATTTATCATATCGCAACCTGCATAGGTATTTACATTTCAATATCCCCTACTTTATTTTTGAAGAGTATATTTAGACTAAAAACATATTCAAACTAATTTATATATCAAAAGTTTGCTTCAAATCCCTCTCAAACATTTTAATCGGAAGGGTACTAGGAAAGTACCCCAAATATATATTAAGCAATCTTGTTTGTCACATGACTTGACTGGGGAGAATCGATTTTTAGCTTGTATTATAGTCGTTAGTTGCTGTCCATGTACCATAAATATTGAAGCCTGTGTAAATTTTTGGAGTATCCTCTTTCAACTTATTTTTTTGGTGTTTAGTCGCAGAGTCTACTGGAGTTTATTCTCTCAATGTTCTCATAACCGTTAGCCATTAGATCAACACATAAGAAGCGCTCCTTACAGCCATTAGATCAACTCATAAGAAGCGTTTCAGTTAAGGACACCTTTACAATATTTGTCTTATTCGTGCCCCATGGGTGTTTTTCAGGGAATCCAGTATTTTTCTATAGACAAAAAGTGACATACTTTTATTGGAAATATCTGCCCGATAAATGTTTTCGTGGGAGTGTATCAACCCGATAAATATTTTCATGGAAATTTAATCTGACTATTCTGAATGTACATACTTAAGATCATGATGATGGCATGTGAGAATGATGTTTTCATGATTGCATAAACATACCACAGATCAATTCTCTCAAACACATGAATTTGACAGAATGTGAATGATGGTGCAGACATGGGATATAAAAGCTAGCTTCAGTACAAATGTCGGAGATGCAACAATATACAAATGTTTACACCTGAGCCCTTGAGAATGTGTCATTGTGTTAATTTAAAGTTACAATTTCATATTTTTAAGTTATATTTTTAAAATGTATTAAAATAAAGCCCTAAAATAGATGGTATCTATAAACAGTCCTACCTTGTTAAAGAATAATCCTATTAATCCTATAATTCACTATTGCCAGTTGAGAAATTGGCAAAAATGTGACTGGCCGCATCTAAATGAGTCGAAATGCGCAAGAATAATGTTGATATTTACATCAAAGCCAAAATCCACGAAAGTGAACGTAAGCATTTCTTGACTATGAAATTGACATTTCTATAGGGACTCATATTTTGATAACGTCTGTGAAAATAATAGACCTATCGTATACGCAAAATCTTATTTTAATTCACGTGTTAAATGAACACGCGTACAGCTGTTGCGGCTTCTTTGATGATTATCCAATCAACAATCTTAATCTCCTGACCACTAGCTGGCACTAAGGTGCTAATTAATTGATGAGATTAAGATTAAGTTAATCTCACTAAAGTTATATTATACACAACAGACTACTAATGTATAGATTGTTCTTCAGTATAACACTATCATGTGAATATTATGCCGTATGTGTTGTGGATGTTTCGTTACGAAAGAAGTGCTTTTATTATGATTTTCGTCGTCAGCACCCTTGAAATCCTAAATAAAAAACATATTAAACGACAAAATATAGTCGGATCAAATTTTTACTACGATTTTCGTCTTCAGCACCCCTGAAAACCCATGGAAAGATATATTCAACGACAAAACAGCAGATAAATGGCCTGGTTGCTATGGGATTTTGTTTTGGAACATACCAAATCTTTGACTTGCTTTTTCTCGAAACTTACTTTTGTGAGTTGGGTAGCTTCTAATGAACACAGCTCAGTCAATTTTTGCCCAATTCAAACAAACTATACATCAAATTGAAGGTAATGAGTTGGAGAATGTGAAAATAACAATAACTCAATTTTCAAAATTTCCTCATTGTGACTCAATATGCTGTGGGGGGTCACAAATATCATTTTCAACTTTAATTCAAACGTTTGAAGATAGCTATTCCATGGTGGGGAATAGGAAAACAAGAGAGGTAATTGTGTTATTATTTCTGATGTAAAGATTTTTAAGTGTGAGAAAGATAACCTGTGATCGTATAATAGTGAGTTGACAACCTATTGAGCAAAAGACATAAATATAATTATGTTTTGACTTTCTTAAAAAATATGAAATTGTAACTTTAAGGGGGCATAAGTGACTACCAGAACCACTGGAATCAGCATCACAATGAGAGTGGAGAAGGATGACACATGCAGCCAATCAGTAGCTTATCTGTATGGCTGTGTGGCTGCAAGAGGTATACACTCGTGTTATTGACTCGTGATATTTACCCCTTGTGTCAACGTTTCACTGTAAAGTAAAGTTGTTAGGCCTGTGTGGGTTGTATCGGTAAACGACCAGTCTACAATCATGCTAGAAATCACATTTCATCTGCTTTACGTTATAATACTAGAACACTTATTATGAATACAATAACTTGGTTTATTATACTGCAACGTTTCAATGAGATTTCACAAGTCGTTTTCAAGCAAATACCTAATGTACAGATGAGATATATCATGGGTGAAATATATATAATAATAATATATTTATTTCATACACAAAGGTATACATGCAGAGGTACAGATGCGATAATAATAATGGTAGTAATACTAATAATAAAATTTACAATTATTTACAGTTTCATAAATACATGTTTAATTAAATTAAATTCAGTTATTTTGTACATAAATACTCCATAATCTCGTTTATTTGTTTTTTATCACAGACTTCATGAGAATGTTTCATAAATAACATGTCATTTATAGCGGCAGCAGTTTGCAGGTCATTAACTTTATATTTGTTAGTGGCGACATTTACCATCTTACTTATTATTTCAGTTTTTTTCATTGAACAGAAGACATTCTCACATTTGATGTTTTTCACAAATATAATTAATATCCTCACTTGCATTTGATTTAGTGCAAGTAGTCCACATATGTGTATGCATTTGTTTTTACTGTTTAAAACAGATACAATAAATTTTACAAACCGTTTATGAATTTGGACATCAAAAGGTAGATCATTACAAATCAAATGTAATAGGACATTATGAGTTCTATATGGAATATTAAATGCGTCTTACACTTTTGCGCCAGGCACAGTAAAATTTCTCGGTAGATTTATTACTTAGGTTCCACAGTTGACATCCATATAATGGCATACAAAAAGTTTTAAATAGTTTATATTTAATCCATGGCGAGACACACTTAAATACATTTGAAGTTACATTGAATCTTACAATAAAGTTATTTATACAGTTGTCTATATTATTTTTAGTTTGATCACTAAAGATTGGATTACCTAAATGTAATTCTGAAGTGGAGATATTAATATTTTTA